ACAGCTCAGGGAGAGGAACATGTCTGATCAGAGCACACAGGAGCAAATGAAGGGGGGAGGGAGAGAGAGTAGAACACATCCTGGCCCACCAAGCCCTGACTGAGGACAATATTCCTGCTCAGAGCAGCAATGCACAAAGAGGACGATAAGCCCGGCCCCACCACAAGGCACATCTCTCACTGAACCATATCCCTACAGACACAACACTGGAGACACAGTGAGGGAATTCTGCCCAAGCTGACCCCACCACACTGAGGAGAAACACTAAGGGCATGTAACAGAACAGCCAGGGGAGCAAAGCAATGAAGTGCTCAGGGAATACCAAAGATAGACTGTGGGGTCAGGACATGGCAGCCCATCAGACTCAATCGGAAAACACTCATAAAGGTCAACAAACAGATCTTGAACTATCTATAGGCTTATCTATTTTTTTGGTCATTTTGGGGGGTTGTTGTTGTTTTCTTTTGTTGCTTTGTTTTACTCTGCCTTGATTTTGTGCATATTATCTCTGCATGTCTATCTAGATAAGACAGGCGGGATAAACAATCTGGAAGAGAAAACAACTGGACTGATGGTTCCAGGGAGGACACGGGAGAGGAGAAGGCAGGGGAAAGGAAATGGGTATTGACAAACCCAGGGACAAGGGAAAACAAGTGATCCAAAATCGAAGGTGAGAAGGTTGTAGGAGGCTTGATAGGGCTTGATCAAGGGCAGTGTAACCAAGAGGAAATACTGAACCCCAAATGAAGGCTGAACATGATAGTGGGACAAGAGGAAAGTCGAAGGAAATAGAGGAAAGAACTAGGAAGCAAAGGCACTTATAGAGGTCTAAATACAGGCATGTACATATATATGACGATGGGGGAATAGATCTATGTACATATATTTATAGGTTTATTATTAAGGTAGCAGATGGACATTGGGCCTCTACTCAAGTACTGCCTCAGTGCAAGGACTTTGTTCTATTAACATGGCATTCCATGATGCTCACCTTCCTGATACGATCGCTGAAGCCAAAGCAGGTGCATAAGCAAATGTGAAGAAAGCTGATGGTGCCCAGCTATCAAAAGGTATAACATCTGGGGTCTTAAAAGACTTGAAGATAAACAAGTGGCCATCTAGCTGAGAAGCAACAAAGCCCACGTGGAAGAAGCA